TTTCTGGCATTTGTGATTGAGAAGATGTATGGTAAGATGTTCATCTTGAGGCCAGATATGACAGCATTATTGAGAAGAGTGCAGTTCAGCCTTAGACAGTTCCCAGCGAGAGGGATGGATTCAGTACAGTAGTAAGGAAAAGTAATTTGTAATAACAACTGAAGGCAATGGGTCTAACTATTACAAAGTGTTTTTGGAGGAAATTTCAGCTAATCAAGTAGTGGAAGCATGCTAAGCAGTTTTATAATTGAGTAACAGTGGGGCAAAGGAGAGTGATGGAGGGGAGTTAGATCTGAACATTGTAGTATGCGTGTGAAACCTAACACGGTGCTTGTGGAAGATCTCACCTCCTGGCAGTATGTCGGCGAGAAATAGGATGGGCCAAGGATAGATCCTTGAGGGACATCGACTACATGGATTTCAGACAGGAAAGAGAGAGTGGAGATGGAGTGGGATTTTCCAATGACGGTGAGGTCAAATATTGGTTTCAAACAGAATGGGTAAGAAGGACATAACCAGAAAAGAGAAACAGACAGAACAAGTAACAATATCTGTGAATTGGCATGGGGGAGAGGCAAGGAGGAGGAGGAGAAATAAGACAGAGTTAGAATGTTTGTAGTTTAGCGAGAATAGGGCAAAGGGTTAAGATGAGCTCTGATAAGGCTTGACACGAGACTGGAGAAAGATGCAAGTTTAGGACTAAAACGAGGAGCAACATGCAAGGCAATTTGGTTTGGTGGGCTCGTGGAAGAGAGGGAAGCAGCAGAGACAGCTGATTGGATTGTCTCAATCTTAGTGACATAGAAACTCCATGTGTCTCCCTCACTTGTTGTTGGAGGGGAGGATGGAAAAGACAGGATGATAGACGTGTTTTGCAAAGAAACAATGCCTGTGTTAGTTACATTTAAAAATGAGTGAACAAACCTGATGTACTTAACTTTTATCCAGAATATTAAAATGTACAACAGAAGTCCGGGTTCGAATCCCATGTCAGCAGATGGTGGAATTTGAATTCAATAAAAAATAACTGGAATTAAGAATCAACTGGTTGCCATGGAACCATTGCTAATGGCAGAAAAAAAATCTAATGTCCTTCAGGGAAAGAAATTTGCCAACCTCAGCAAGCCACTCAGTTGCAAATCACTGCAAAGTCTCAACAAAGGAATGAAACTGGGTGGACCACTTGGCATCTACCAAGGCACTAGGAAAGACAACTGCAGAATCAGCCCTATCGACCCCACAAACTCCTCCTTACTAATATCTGGGGGCCAGTGGCAAAATTTGGAGAGCTGACTCAAAGACTAGTCAAGAAACAGCGTCATATGCATGGAATCATACCTTACAGACAATGACACACGTCACTATCACTGTCCTTAGATGAGTCCTGTCCCACGAGAAGGACAGACCTGGCAGACGTAGCAACACAGTGGTATTCTGACCAGATTGATTTGACCTGAGAGTACTCAACACTGACTCTGACGCCTAGGAGTCTCATGGCTCCTGCTGATTACCATGTACCATCCTCCCTCGGTTGATAAATCGGCAGCAGTATTATTGCTGGATTATTAATCCAGAGACCCAGCTAACGTTCTGGGGACCTGGGTTCGAATCCTGCCATGGTAGATGGTGGAATTTGAATTAAATAATGATCTGGAATTAAGAGTCTAATGATGACCATGAAACCATTGCCGATTATCAGGAAAGACCGATCTGGTTCACTGATGTCCTTTTGGGAAGGAAATCTGCCATCCTTACCTGGTCTGGACTACATGTGACTCCAAACCCACAGCAATGTGGTTGACTCTTCACTGCCTTCTGGGCAATTAGGGATGGGCAATAAACGCTGGCAAAGCCAGCGATTTCCACATCCCAAGAGTGAATTTTAATAAAAAAAACTCCTCCATGTTGAACAGCACTTGGAGGAAGCACTGAGAGTGTAAATGGCACCAAATGTACTCAATGTCCACCATCAGGAGTAGTTTGCAGCAGGATTACCAATCAAGCTGGTCAGGTCCTAAAGGACAAAGCTGCCTGGCTGGGACTGCAGCAGGTGGTGACGCAACCAACAAAAGGGAAAAACATAGCTGATCTCATTGTCACGAATTTCTCAGCTGCAGATGCATCTGTCCTTGACAGGATTGATAACAGCGACCACCGCACAGTCCCGTGGAGACAAAGCCTCATCTTAAACTGGAGAATACCCTCCATTGTGTTGAGCGGCACTAACATCGGCTAAATGGGACAGACTTGGAACAGATATAGGAACTCAAAACCAGATATCAATGAGGCTTTGTGGGACATCAACAGCAGCAGAACTTACTCCAGCACAATCTGTAACCTCATGGCCCAGCATATCCTGCACTCAACCATTACCATTGATCCAGGGGATCAACACTGGTTGAATGGATAGTATAGGAGGGCATGCCAAGAACAGCACCAGGTATACCTAAAAATAAGGTGCCAACCTGGTAAAACTACCAAACAGGACTATCTGCATGCCAAATAGCATAAGCAGCAAGAGTTAGAGCTAAGCCACCCCATAACCAATAGATCAGATCTAAGCTCTGCAGTTCTGCCACACCCAGTCGTGAATGGTGATGGACAATTAAACAACTCACTGGAGGAAGCATGCCAAAAATCCCCATCCTTACTGACAGAGGAGCCCAACCTATCCATGCAAAAGATAAGACTGCAGAATTTGCAACAATCTTCAGCCAGAAGTGTCAATTGGATGATCCATCTCAGCCTTCTTCAGAGGTCCCCAACATCACAGATGAAAGTTTTCATCCAATCTGATTCATTTCAAATAATATTAATAAATGGATGAATAGTGCAAAGGTTATGGGCCCTGGCAATAGTACCGATGACTTGTGCTCGAGATCTTGCTACCCGCCAAGCCAAACTGTTTCAGTACTGTTACAGCACCAGCATCTACCGACAATTTGGAACATTGCCCAGGTCTGTTGAGCACAAAAACACAGAGCAAATCCAACCTGACCAATCTCCCCTCAAGCAGTCTACACTCTATCATCAGTAAAGTGATGGAAGGTGTCGTCAACAGCGCTATTAAGCAGCACTTACTCAGCAGTAACCTGCTCAGTGACACCCAGTTTGGGTTCCGCCGGACACTCAGTTCCTGATCTTATTACAGACTTGATCCACAAATTCCCAAACAGCTGAATTCCTGAGGTGAGGTGAGGGTAACTGCAGAGTCCTGCACCAAAACCACTTATTTCCACTTCAGTGACAATGACCTGACCCCACCTTAGTTTCAGCTCATCTGCTGAACCTCTCATCCATTCCTGTGTTACCTCTCGACTTAACTATCCACACACACTCCCAGTCAGCCTCTCACATTCAACGTCCCTGTAATCTCAAGAATATCTAAAATTCTGCTGCACACATGTTCATTTGTACCAAAACCTGTTCACCCATCACTGTTGTGCTCCCTGACCCATAAAGGCTCCTATCTATAAGCAACAACAATTTAAAATTCTCATTCTTGATTTAATTCCTGGCTGTGATGATCCCTATCTCCCTGCACCACACAACCTTCGAGACTCCAACAATGCATTTAATCATTGCTTCACAATTGGAGGCTGTTTCTACAGTTGCCAGGCAACATGGTCTGGAATTCCCATGATAAACCTCTCAGGTTTGCTTTCCTTCTTTAAGATATTCATGAAAACCTGCGTATTTGGTAATGCTTTTGGTCACCTGACCTAATATTTATATCTATGGCCTTACATCAAAAGTTCCTTGATAACATTTTTGTGAAATTATAAACATGATAAAAATAAAAATTACACCATACACCATCAGCTCTTCAGTATCGCTAGATGAATGATCTGTAACTTTTCAAATAACCGCATTGTGGGAGCACCTTCATCATACAAACTGCAGCAGCACAAGAAAGTCAAACATCACCTTTTCCACAGGCAACAGGGCTTTGGGAATGATCGCTGGTATCTGTGGAAGGAGAAACAGAGTAAATGTTGCAGAAGTGCAAAATGAATGACATGGAATAAAAATGCTGTAGAATTTGATGGTCTGAAATGGAAGGGAAATGCACTCTCTTTCTCAGAAAATATTTCCTGACTGTGAAAGATACCATTCAAAAATTAATCCAGTAAGAGAGCAGCACATGGTCAGGTGGTGGGCAGCAGTGGAAAATTCATTTACAAAAGGTCTATGAAAGTAACAGTAAAATACAAAACAGAGATCAAATATATCCACCATTACAGACTGAAGAGATTAGATACCGACAAAGAGGTGATCAGGGAGCACGGAAGTGAGTAAGAGCAGTGCTCGCTGCTATGATCCCACACTCTGGGAAAGAAATCCAGAAGAAACAAACATTTCTCTTGGTTTGAATTTGCTCTATGTAAATCCTCTCCGATCACTTTCATTTCTGAAGAATGGTCCAGACTCGAAACGTCAGCTTTCCTGCTCCTCTGATGCTGCCTGGCCTGCTGTGTTCCTACAGCTCCACACCTTGTTATCTCACTTTCAACCAGAGACGGCTGCGCATGCGACCAGCTTCACCTTGGCCCTTTCAAAGTTTCAAAGCTGCCGCGCATGTGCCCCGCGGATCATTGCCCCCAATAAAGATGGTGGCGGTCACACAGGCCTATCGCCATCTGAGGAGTTGATTTGTTTTCTGCAAACATGAGTCTGGGAGTTTCAAATGTGTGTTTTCCGACGTGCACTAAGTGTCTGTAAAACTTCCAAGCCCGTACGAATATCACTTCCCTCCCACTTTCTGCCGTTTTTCTTTCTTTCTTTACCATGTCCTGCTCTTACCTCAATTGCACAAATCTCGGTCTCAGCGACTCTGCACTGCGCGCGTGGATGATCACGTGGTTTACACTGGTCCCGCCCCTTCTTCACTCCGACTGGTTAGAAGGGCAGCTACGGCGCCCCTGTGCTGCTATTGGTCCCGCACTGACATCAATCACTCAGACTCGATTGTGAGCTGGAGCATGCGCAGTGCTTCTTGTAATTATCAGAAGCTAATGATCGTCATCAGAATCTTGCATTTTCAGACAAATGAAAATTAGAACTAGATTAGAAAGATTGTTACAGAGATAGTAGCAACTGCCGATATCCCCAACGGACTCAATGTGGACTTCACAAGCTTCAAAATCTCCCCTCCCCCTACCGCATCCCAAAACCAGCCCAGCTCGTCCCAGCCTCCCTAACCATTCCTCCCACCTCAAGTCCCACCCCCATCTCCAGCCCACTAACCTCGTCCCACCTCCTTGACCTGTCCGTCCCCCATGGGCCGACCCATCTCCGCCCTCGCTCCCTACCTTCACTCACCTCTACTGGCTCCATCCCCGCCTCCTTGACCTGTCTGTCTCCTCTCCGCCTATCTTCTCCTTTATCCATCTTCTATCCGCCTCCCCCTCTCTCCCTATTTATTTCAGAACCCCCTTCCCCTCCCCCATTTCTGAAGAAGGGTCTCGACCCGAAATGTCAGCCTTCTTGCTCCTCTGATGCTGCTTGGCCTGCTGTGTTCATCCAGCTCTACACCTTGTTATCTTAGATTAGAAAGGTGTTACGTAAGCGATCCTGGGATTTTAATAAGTCGTTCTGAGGAAGCGTCACTGGACCCGAAACGTTAACTCTGTTTACTTCCTTCACAGATGCTGCCAGACCTGCTGAGCTTTTCCAGCAACTTTGTTTTTGTTCCTGATTTACAACGTCCGCAGTTCTTTCGTGTTTTTTTTTTCATAAGTCGTGTTTGAAAAGGCTTCCTGCAGCTCAAAGCTAAAGATAGCTCTTGATACCGCTCTGTCAGCGAATAGAGAAATGGCGGTGAAATAAGTGTTATAAATACAGGTATAGCAGTCCTCAGGTAAGATGTAAAGAGAATAATTATGAATATGAAGAACATCACGTGGTTAAGTGAGGTGAGTGTTGTTCATATGAACTGTGATTGGGCAGAGAGGGAGGTTAATCAAAGAAGAACAAGGATAAAAGAGATTCTCAAGAAAGGTCTGTGCAATGGAAAGCAACGAGAATCAGAAGATAAAAGCCCAAGACAGAGGAAAAAGTTTGAAGACCGAGGCTGCAAAAGCTACAATAAGTTGTTTCACTGCTCTACTGCCTAGTTATTGACATAAGCAGTATAACCCGCATTCAACTGGAAATAGCTGTCTGAGTTTGTCACTGTAGTTTGCTTCATAACAGATAAACTTCTCCACACTTTGTCTCAATAAAGCTGATAATTGGTTCACAACTTAGTTCTGCTGCCAAGTCCGTTCCTGCTTGAAAAGGGGTGTAGATCACATTTAAATACACAATGCTAAATGTCAATCCAGGCTGGCAGCCAAACTCCACTCCCTCACCACTGACTCCATCCCTGCCCCTGGTAACTGGCTGGTAACACGCTGCTCACAATCATGGTGCAATATTTCACCCCAAGGTGAGCTTCCAACCACATTACTCACCCCCACACCCATCATCACAAAGACCACATACCATTTCAACTTCAGTAGCATCTCAGTTCATCTGCTGCTGAAACTCTCATCTATTCCTTTGTTACCTCGAGACTTAACTCCCCAAACACACTCCCGGCCGGCTTCTTAATTCCACTTCCCCGTAATCTTGAGGTGATCCAAAAATCTGCTGCCTAGTTGTTTACTCTCACCCATTTCAATATCTTCGTGTTTTGCCATCCTGTGCTCACTAACATACATATTTTCTAGGTGGCAAAGCACCAAGATATTGAAATTCATATCCTTATTTTGAAATTTTGTCATTGCACCTCCTTCTTTTGATAGTCCCTCCAGACTCAAAACCCTCTGAGATATATCTGAAGAAGGGTCACTGGACCCAAAACAATAATTCTGCTTTCTCTCCGCAGGCACCGCCAGATATGCTGAGTTTTCATCAATTTCTGTTTGTGTTACTACTTTCAAGCATCTACAGTTCTTTTGGTTTTTCCTTCGAGATATTTGTTCTCCGCGACTTCGAACCTCCTGTGGATTTCTGGTTTTAACTCTCCCACCTTTTTCATGCTTTCAGTTTCCAAGGCCATAAGCTCTTGAATTTACTCCTTAAACATCCCTGATTTTCAAAGTCCCTTTGTTTGTTCAGGGTATTCCTTAAAACCTACTTCTTTGGCCAGTTTTTGGTCACTTGTCCTAATATGTCCATAAGTGCCTGGTATCAAATATTGTTTTATGACAACCTTGTGTAATATGTCAGATCATTGGATTGAATCAAAAATGTGAAAATATTTAAATTGTTCATTTGGAAACCACCACTAATCCTTCACGATCATTTGGTAGCTCCTTACCTAATAGCATTGCAAGTGCAGCTTCACCACACGGCCTGCAACGGTTCAGGAAGGTCAAACACCAAATTTTCCAGAGGTAACTGAGGATTGGCAATAGTTACTGATACCTGTGGAGAGTGATCCAAAGTTAATGTATCAGGATATGGTGAATGAATGACATGGTACAGAACTTGTTGGGTAATATAAGCTCAGAAACAGAACAGAAAAGGACTGCATTAAGAATAATTCCTGACTATGAAACATACTGTGCGAAGACAAAGCTTCTAAATCCATAGGGTTTGATCAAAGAAATGTGATGAAAACATCATCTAGACATAATTTGATACAGTAACAGAAGCATTAAACAGACAAGTACTCACACATTATGAGAGACAGAGGGAAGGCAGAAGTGAAACAGAGCAATATACTGAAATGGATTCAGATCCATACTAACGGAGACACACCAGCCCTTGAGCTACAGAACCTCTCACAGGTAACTGGCACAACTCTAAAACTCAACATTGTTGATGAATGGTCAAAAATACTCCACCACATCACTGTTGTCAATTTGAAATTCTCCTGTTGCACCTGCAGCTGGAAAGATATCAGAAATACTGGAGTTAGAGAAAAATCTCACATTGCAGGAAATCCCTAAGGAACAGGTGATGTCACTGTGCTCCTGCTGCTGCATGATGACATCACACACGGGAACACAGAGCATCTGGGTTTGTGCAAACCAGAGATCACCCACACATTGGGAAGGATGGAGGGTCGCTGAGAGGAAGCAGACCTGTTCCTTTGCCAGAAAGGTTAAAAATCGAAAGATTTATGATGTCAGGGCTTAACTGAAGCTGAAGGGAGATTTGACAGAGCTGTTACTGTTTACTGTTGGTTTAGACAATGTAGATAAAACAAAGGGTTCACATTAACTGAAAAGAAATGGATCATGGGGTACAAATGTCAGTTTTAGATCAACATGGAGGTTATAATGGAAAAATTACATGCAGTGAGTGGTAATGACAGGGACCTCAATAGTTACACTCAAAAGGCCAATAATATCCAGTTTCTGATGAATCGATTGATCATGCCAAATTTTGATTTGATGTTTGTTTAAAGTTTCCTGTCTGTGAATCTTTTTTATATATTCTGTAAAAGAAGTTTAGTAAAGACAGTGTCAGTCCAGGTTAGAAATCAGACATACAAATTATTCCCTTTGTTTGATTTAATATTTTATATGTATGTCCATCCTTACAAGCCTCAGTGAAAGAAGCTTCAAAAATCCATCACAATCAGTGCAGAGATAAAAGTATAATAACTGGTTCTAAACATGAACACTATTTCTCTCTCCCGAGAGGTTGCCAGTCCTACTGGGTGCTCCAGCGCCTCTCTTTTATTTCAGGAGTTCACAACATCCCTCCTCCTGGCCGAGGATGACCAGGTATACTCAGAACAGAGATTATCATACATTGTGAAGGAGGGGAAGTTCCTCAAAGGAGATAGATTCATTCATAAACCAGAAAGTTTCAGGACTGAGGGATTTGTGATGCGATGGACCAACTGGAGTTGAAGGGAGATTTGACAGAGCTTATGGGCTCATAATTGTTTTAGGTAAGGTAAATAAAAGCAATATATTCACAGTAGCTGAGGAAAAATGGACCATGAAATACAAATTTAAGATTTTGGACAAAATCGACAAGGAGGATCTGATAAAGAAGCTATATGAAAGGGATTCTATAGCCAGACTGCAGTTTGTAGATAGTTTGACTGAGCAGTTAAAAGCGCTGCATTTAAGCTCGAGTCTCTATCGAGTCGTGGGTTTGAATCCTACCGGTAACCAAAGTCATGAGTGATCTACCTCAAGCAGTCACATCAAAGGAGCTGGGCAACTTCAAGTTTGCAATGTTTACATTTCTTCTGGGTGATTGTGGCTCCTTGGGCCTCTGATACTCTCGGTGATGAAAGTGCGAAAATTGGTGACAGACTCCGAAAACAACGAGAGCTCGAGCTTCACAACGGCCGTTCAGATCTCTGCTAACACCCTGCTTTAGGGGATTTTGCATGGCTTGTTGATGCCAGTTTTTATGGTTCAACTGGTCGGCATTAGTTGGTAAACTGAAAAGTCGGTCGTTTGAGACCATCCAGGCGCTCAACTTTAGTTATTTTGGATCAAGCAATTTGAGTGACCACCTACCTGCATTTAACCCATGAAAAAGCTACAACAAAATTGGATTCAAAACACATCCATCAATGATTCTCTCTTCCCCAGCTCCACACGGAGTGAGACAGGGACAAGCAGCAAGCTTTGACCACGCTCTCTCCAATCCCTGTTGCCAGATTTTATGGGCAGAGAGATCAAGGACAGGGAGATCAAAAGATTGTACAAATGGTTTGAGTGGAGTGTCCAATAATAAATCTCTGCAGGTGATCTAAAGTGTTAAACGGTGTGAGTAAAGTGTCAAAGCTGAATAACAGGCGAAGGGATGACCTTTAATCCGATTAAATGAGGCAGAGAGATAATTACAAAAACAAACTAAAAATAAGGTTGTGCTTGGCACAAGCCAAATGGCTGGAATAATGTGACAGGTATAAG